CCTGCTTTAAGATGAATGGACTTCAACTCCCACAATTCCCCAGCCAGCCTGCTTTAAGATGAATGGACTTCAATTCCCAGAATCCCCCAGCCAGCCTGCTTTAAGATGAATGGACTTCAACTCCCACAATTCCCCAGCCAGCCTGCTTTAAGATGAATGGACTTCAATTCCCAGAATCCCCCAGCCAGCCTGCTTTAAGATGAATGGACTTCAACTCCCACAATTCCCCAGCCAGCCTGCTTTAAGATGAATGGACTTCAATTCCCAGAATCCCCCAGCCAGCCTGCTTTAAGATGAATGGACTTCAATTCCCAGAATCCCCCAGCCAGCCTGCTTTAAAATGAATGGACTTCAATTCCCAGAATCCCCCAGCCAGCATCCTTTAAGATGGGTGGACTTCAACTCCCACAATTCCCCAGCCGGCTGCTTTAAGATGAATGGACTTCAATTCCCAGAATCCCCCAGCCAGCCTGCTTTAAAATGAATGGACTTCAATTCCCAGAATCCCCCAGCCAGCATCCTTTAAGATGAATGGACTTCAATTCCCAGAATCCCACAGCCAGCTGCTTTAAGATGTGTGGACTTCAACTCCCAGAATCCCCCTGGCCGGGGAATTCTGGTAGTGGAAATCCACACCCCAAGGTTGCCTTATCAGCCTGATGACTTTTATTTGGCCGTTTATGGGATGGCTTGGCTGTGTGTCTTCACTTGAATTTTGCCTTTTTCTATTTTGTGTTATTTTCTTTTATTTTTCAATCTCCCCCCCCCCCAAATATAGGACATTGGGTGTTTTGAAAAGATTAGATACAGGAGCGTAGTAAATCCATAGTTAAAGAGGAAAAGTGGTGGATGAAACCAGATAAGGGGAAATAGTGGATTTGGGTGTTTTAGGCAAAAAATAATTTGCAAATGCAAAATTAACCTTCGGTTTTTCATGTTCTTTCCGCCCCCCCTCCCCTTAGGACAAATCGTACAAGCAAAAATTTGTGAAACATGAGAGAGACTCTAAAGTGGCTGTGAGTTTTTCGTTGTGATCCTACTTTCTGCATCTCTGCTTGGTGACCTTTCCTATCCCTGCGCTTGGTTGGTCCAATCGATTTGGTCCTCCGAACCATAGAGTTTTCTTCCCCTCTGGTTTTCTCCTCCCCCCACCCCTCTCGATTTTATTTGATCAGTTGTGCAGTTTGGTCCAGCTCTGGAATATTGACGTTTCCATTTTAAATTTCATTTCATGTTTATTTTCCAAGATAACCAAATCACAAAACCAATGCAACCATATATTTTTTTTCTCGTCTTTTCCCTGCAAAATACAGTTCCCGGGAAACACTCACCATCATCATCTTTTAACAACCCCCCATAATTCCTTGCGGGGTGGAATCTGGGCAACTGAATGGAGCTAGTTGTTGGCCAGATGCCTTTCCTGTTGCCAATATGGAGTTTTGTTCAGCAGATAATATTCTCATCCTGCCCAGAGAGAGAAAAATATCTGCCTCTACCTAGGATCGAACTCATACGCCTCCGGATTGTGAGGCGGGGGCTTCCACCTCTAGGGCCCTCACACCATTCAAGTTCCTGGGGAAAAACTACAGGACCCATCACCCACAGCCGAGCAGAATTGCAATTCTCCCCCCTTCAGTTGGAAATTGAAAGTAGTTGACTTGGTCAACTATCTGGAATTGCCAAATGTTTGGGACTTCAAGTCAAATCTTGGATGATGTAACTGCCCTCCTAATGGGTATCTGCTAAGGAAAAAGGGTCAAAAAAGTCAAAATGGCTGCGTTACGGCTGCCATTTTGACTTTTTTGACTTTTTAAGTCTTTCTCTTGCCACCTCTTAGATGCCTTTGCCTCTGCAAGAATTAATAGAGGAAGAAGTCTTGGCGATTTTAAAGGTTACACTACTCGGTGAGTTAACTAAACGTACAAATTTATCTTTTATTGCAGCCAAAGATAGAACTGAAAAGCGACTACTTTCAGGATTGCCTGTGACTTACACCCATTCACTTAATGTCCGTCCAAAGTTGAGCAGTTTATGACTGCTCCCCCACTTACGACCATCGCAGCATCCCCACAGTTGCGTGATCCAAATTTGTCCACTTAGCAACCGATAGTAGAGGCATTTTGGTGGGGGTGGGGGGTCATGGGATCAGCATCTGACCTTCCCAGACGGCGTTAGACAAGATAGATTCGCTTAACGACCACACGATTCATTTAACAAAGGGAGCAATTTGCTAACCGCCTTGGACAAAGGTTTGTCAATTCAGGGCGTGGCTCGCTCTACACGTTCTCGCTTAGCAACGGAAATCCTGGCGGTAAGTCGAGGAGTCCCTATAATGACCCATCTGAACTGCGAAACGGGGGAATCTGAATCACAAGATATTTTAAGTTTGAAATTCCAAATCTTGTTGTTGTTTTCTTCTCTTTTCTAACCCAACTCAGCTTATCAGAAAAAACTCGGGGCGAATCACCCTCTTACTGGACAGATGGAGAAGCAGGTGGACAAACTTCATTTGCAGTTGCAAGGAAGGGGGATCATCTGAGCCCCAAATCCAGACTCGGAAGGGTCAAACCCACACTTCTCCATCCCGCTCGGGAGACTCCCGGTCTCAACACTGCCGCTCCCTTCAAAACTGGGAAGTAAATGAGTAAATTTGGCTTTTCCGCCCCTTCGAATTTCAGCCTCTTCTCTCTTTTGTCAATCAGTGTCTCATCGTTTTATCCTAGCTGGGCCACTCGGAGATGGGTGGACTTCAACTCCCAGGATTCCCCAGTCAGCAGGCTTTAAGATGGGTGGACTTCACCTCCCCCTCCTCCCAAATCCAACTATAGCACTGATGATGTTACCTAGTTGGGTCTCGAAATGTCTGCAAGGAGAGAATCAAGAACCCCCCACCCATCATCATCATCATTCTTCTTCTTCTCCTCCTCCTCCTCCTTCTTCTTCCTCTTCCTCCTCCTCTTCCCCCTCCTTCTCTTCTTCCTCCTTCTCCCTCTCCTCCTCTTCCTCCTCCTCTTCCCCCTCCTTCTCTTCTTCCTCCTTCTCC